GTTTACAAAGAATTTCCTGTTGCAGAAATACAGCAGAACTCAGGTGCCAGTCCTCTTGCAGCCAGCGCTACCATGGTTGACTATTGCGTGTCTTCTTCTCATACACTGGGATGGTATTCTTAATTGCGGAATATATTGGGAAGTTAAGGTTATTTGTGGCATTATTACAATTTCTACACACAAGCATATGTATATTTATTTGAAATACAACCCTGGGTGTGTAGTATGCACAGAATTGAATTTAACATGTGACTCTTGCCTCAGAGCCAGGTGTTTTCCAGAGCCAGGAAACTCCCGCTCTGAGGCAGGTGTTACCTGGTTACCTGGAGCCAGGTAACACCTGCCTCAGAGCCAGGTATCACACACTAACGCACGGAGACCACCACTGGTGTTTAGCATCACAAATGTAAACACCAGGTGTAAACACCCAGGTGTAAACCGTCGGGTGAAAACCCCAGGTGTAAACCCTCAGATGTAAACCCCAAGTGTAAACCACAAGTGTAAACCACAAGTGTAAACCACAAATGTAAACCCCCAAGTGTAAACCCCTGAGTGTAAACCCCTTAGTGTAAACCCACAAATGTAAACCCACAAATGTAAACCTCAAATGTAAACCACAAGTGTAAATCCCCAAGTGTAAACCACAGGTGTAAACCCCTGAGTGTAAACCCCTTAGTGTAAACCCCCAAATGTAAACCCCATGTGTAAACCCAAATGTAAACCCCCAGGTGTAAACCACAAGTGTAAATCCCCAAGTGTAAACCACAAGTGTAAACCCCTTAGTGTAAACCCCCAGGTGTAAACCCAAATGTAAACCCCCAGGTGTAAACCCAAATGTAAACCCCCAGGTGTAAACCCAAATGTAAACCCCCAGGTGTAAACCCAAATGTAAACCCCCAGGTGGACGAGGGCGAGCAGCACACCCACCTTGGTTCTGCGGCTGGGTGACGCTGATCATGGTGGTGACGAGGGAGGCGATGCGCACGGCCTCCAGCGACGAGGTGGAGAGGTCCCGGTAGAGCTTGTAGAGGTGGTACACGGTGAGGAGCACCACCAGCACGTTGGTCACGATCCACAGCACGTTGAGCACGTAGTGGCGCAGCGGTCCCGTGATGAGCGGGCAGGACGGGGCGTTGTGCTCCTGAGGGGAGTGGAGGGAACTATCAAGGGAAAGCGTGATTGATTGATGAAGATTAAGCCACCCAAAAGGTGGCACGGGCATGAATAGCCCGTAAGTGGTGGCCCTTTTAAGCCATTACCAGTATCAAGAGCTGATACTGGAGATCTGTGGAGGTGCGAATGCACCCTGCATGACGGGAGATGTCTCCCTTGTGAATGTGTTAAGATGAAGATTAAGCCACCCAAAAGGTGGCTTGGGCATGAATAGCCCATAAGTGGTGGCCCTTTTGAGCCATTACCAGTATCAATAGATGATACTGGAGATCTGTGGAGGTGCGACTGCACCCTGCGTGACGGGAGATGTGTCCCGTGTCTAGGCATTACGACTATATAGCACTTGGAAGGGGTCAGGAGGAGGATTTAGGATGGGACGTGGGAGGGGGGGGAGGAATGGTGCTCAACCACTTGTGGACGGTCGGGGATTGAACGCCGACCTGCAGGAAGGGAGATCGTCGCTCTACCGTCCTGCCCAAGAGGTTGGAGGTGAGGTCTCAGCAGGGAGAAAGTGAGAGGTGAGAGATGGCAGCGAAGAGAGTGGCAGTTAGGGAAGAGTTGCATGTACCAGTGAAGGCCTTTAATGAGGAGAATAATGTCCTGGTATTCCTGTAGTTTTTCCACTACAAGAACATGGAGAAACTAGAGGAATAACAGGACACCGGAGAGCAGGGAGAGTTACCAGAAGGCAATAAATGAGTACATCAGAGTGAGGAGAGAAGCAGAGAGACAGTATGTAAATGACATAGCGAGTAAAGCTAAGACGGTGGAGGGAGCCGGTCGGCCGAGCGGACAGCACGCGGGACTTGTGATCCTGTGGTCCTGGGTTCGATCCCAGGCACCGGCGAGAAACAATGGGCAGAGTTTCTTTCACCCTATGCCCCTGTTACCTAGCAGTAAAATAGGTACCTGGGTGTTAGTCAGCTGTCACGGGCTGCTTCCTGGGGGTGGAGGCCTGGTCGAGGACCGGGCCGCGGGGACACTAAAAAGCCCCGAAATCATCTCAAGAAGACCCAACCACAACTGCACCACAGCCACATCAGGAGGAAAACAGCAGAGAACGAACAGCTGATGAAACTGAGAAAATGGGAGAATAGATACACAGAGAATGACAAAGATGTGTGTGAAGAGCTCAACAAGAAATTCCAGGAGGTCTTCACTAAAGAACAAGGAGAAGCCACTGCACTAAATGAGGAGAAAGCAAACCAAGCAACCTTGGAGGAATTTGACCTCACCAGTGATGAGGTCAAAAGGAATCTGTTGGAGCTGAATGTGACAAAGGCTGTTGAGTCGGACAGAATATCACCGTGGATACTAAAAGAAGGTGCAGAGGCTCTAAGTGTGCCACTCTCTATGGTGTATAACAGGTCACTGGAAACAGGAGACCTCCAGGAAAGTTGAAAGACAGCTAATGTAGCCCTAATATACAAAACGGGTGATAGGCAAGAGGCACTGAACTACAGGCCAGTTTCCCTTACTTGTATACCACGCAAGGTGATGAAGAAGATCGTGAGGAAAAGGCTCGTAAATCATCTGGAAGGATATAGCTTTGTAACACACGACCAGCCTGGGTTCAGAGATAGTAAACCATGCCTCACAGGTTTAATAGAATTCTATGACCAAGCAACACATATTAGGCAAGAAAGAGAATGGTGGGCAGACTGCATTTTTTGGACTATCAGAAAGCCGTTGACACAGTACCCCATAAAAGGCTTTTACAAAAGTTGGAGCAACAGGCAGGAGTAAAAGGTAAGGTGCTTCAGTGGAAAAGGAAATATCTAAGCAACAGGAAACAGCGAGAAACTATGAGGGAGGGGGGTAAGGGAGACATCAAAGTGGCGAGATGGCACCATCGGAGTCCCACAGGGCTCTGTACTTGGACTCATCCTGTTTCTAATATATATAAACGATCTTCCAGAGGATATAGACTCATTCCTCTCAATGTTTGCTGATGATGCAAAAATTATGAGAAGAATGAAGACAGATGAAGATAGACAGAGACTACAGGACGACCTGGACAAACTGGAGGAATGGTCTAGAAAATGACTGCTAAAGTTTAACTCTGGAAAGTGTAAAGTAATGAAATTAGGAGAAAGGAGCAGAAGGCTGAACAGAAGGTACCATCTGGGAGGTGAAATCCTGCAAGAGTCAAATACAGAGAAGGATCTGGGGGTTGATATCACACCGAATCTGTCCCTAGAGGCCTATATCAAAATAATATCATCAACGGTATATGCTAGATTGGACAACATAAGAACTGTCCTTAGAAACTTGAGTAAGGAATCGTTCAGGACTTTGTATACCATTTATGTCAGACCAATCCTAGAATATGCAGCTCCAGCCTGGAGTCCATATCTAGTTAAACACGAGACAAAGTTAGATAAGATTCAGAGGAATACCACCAGATTTGTCCCGGAACTGAGAGGTATGAGCTACGAGGAATGGCTAAGGGAGCTGAACCTCACGTCCCTGGAAAACAGAAGAGTAAGGTGGGAGACATGATAACCACCTACAAAATTTTCAGAGGAATTGACAGGGTGGACAAAGGGAAGAGAACTATCAGGGGAAAAGTGCCAAGCCATCACGACTATATAGCACTGGGAAGGGTCAGGATAAGGATTTGGGATGGGACGGGGGGGAAGGAATGGTGCCCAACCACTTGGACGGTCGGGGATTGAACGCCGACCTGCATGAAGCGAGACCGTCGCTCTACCGTCCAGCCCAAGTGGTTGGACAGTGTGGACAAAGACAAACACTTTAGCACGGGTGGAACACGAACAAGAGGACACAGGTGGAACTTAGTACCCAAATGAGCCACAGGGACATTACAAAGAATTTTTTCAGTGTCAGAGTAGTTAACATGGAATGCACTAAGCAGTGATGTGGTGGAAGCTGACTCCATACACAGTTTCAAATGTAGATATGATATATCCCAGTAGGCTCAGGAATCTTTACACCAGTTGATTGACAGTTGAGAGGCGGGACCAAAGAGCCAAAGCTCAACCCCCGCAAGCACAACTAGGCGAATACACACACAAATACACACACACACACACACACACACACACACACACACACACACACACACACATGATGGGGTATGAAGAGCGCCTGAGGGAACTGTGCCTTACGACACTAGAAAGAAGAAGGGAGAGGAGGGACATGATAGGAACGTATAAGATACTCAGAGGAATTGACAGAGTGGACATAGACGAAATGTTCACACGGAATAGTAACAGAACGAGAGGACATGGATGGAAGCTTAAAACTCAGATGAGTCACAGAGATGTTAGGAAGTTTTCTTTTAGCGTGAGAGTAGTGGGGAAATGGAATGCACTTCAGGAACAGGTTGTGGAAGCCAATACTATTCATAATTTTAAAACCAGGTATGATAGGGAAATGAGACAGGAGTCATTGCTGTAAACAACCGATGCTCGAAAGGCGGGATCCAAGAGTCAGTGCTCGATCCTGCAGACACAACTAGGTGAGTACAACTAGGTGAGTACACACACACACACACCACACACACACACACACACACACACACACACACACATCGATCTAAGAGTCAATTCTCGATCCTGCTGGAACAAATAGGTAAGTACATACACACAAACACACACAGACAGTAATAACAAGATCCCAATAATAATGTAAATAATTAAACAAACATAAAAGTCACAGTGCAAACATTAACGACAACAACAACAACAAAATACCACAACCTTCAACAACAAATAAATAATAACAGCTTGCAATTATTACATTAAATCTCTCGAAGAAAACTTGCCATCTGGCAAAAACTTTCAAAAACTTTGAAGTTCAAATGCTCTCTCGAGGGAATGTGCATCCCAGAGGTGCTGCAACCCGTTCTCGCAAATTCGTAAAGTCAATATTGACTTATTAACTACGTGCATAGGTGATATACTAAACATAATAGATACCCTTAAAAAGATTCATAGAAAACACCGACCTTACCTAACCTTGTTAGTATCTTAAGATAAGCATCTTTTTGCTTCGTAATTACAATTATTACTTAACCTATAACTATTATAGGTTAGGTAATAATTGTAATTACGAAGCAATAAGATGCTTATCTTAACATACTAAGTAGGTTAGGTAAGGTCAGTGTTTTCTATGAATCTTTTTACGGGTATCTATTATGTTAAGTATGTCACCTATGCACATATTTAATAAGTCAATATTGACTTATTAAATTTGCGAGAACGGGCTGAGGAACGACATTCACAGAGTAATCACACAGGCGGTGAAAGAAATAAATAAAATATGTTATAATCTGAGAAGTTATGATTGAAGAAACAGTCACGAGCGTGAGAGGTGTACATGAGGTGATGCTACACTTATCGAGAACAGAGGTGAACACTTGAACAACACGGTGAACAATTGAAAGTAAAGTGAACACTTGAAGAACATGGTGACTCCTTGGGTAGCAGTCTAAACAATTTAACAGCAAGATAATCTCTGTACCAACCGAATGAATAATTGGACAAGGTGAACAATTGAACAGCAAGATGAACACTTGAGCAGTAAGGTGAATAATTGAACAACATGGTGAACAATTTGACATCCAACAGACAAAAGGACGATTTTTTAGCCGTCAAAATATAATACAAAACACATAATGATTTACTAACATGAGGAAATCAGATGGATGAACATACAATCAGGAGATTCGTTATACAATCAGAACGAGAGACATGCAGTCAGAAAGTGAGTTATCGGGTAGACGGACGACCTATTAGATCAAGCCAATTATCCAGTAATCAGAGTATCTGAGTGTCGTTGTAATTCAACGATTAATCAACATTGATTCAACGTTGATTCATCATAAATAACATTGATTCAACGTTGATTCAACATAAATAACACTGATTCAACGTTGACTCATCATAAATAACATTGATTCAACGTTAATTCAACACAAATAACACTGATTCAACGTTGATTCAACATAAATAATACTGATTCAACATTGATTCAACATAAATAACACTGATTAAACGTTGATTCAACAGAAATACAACTGATTCAGCGTTGATTCAACATAAATAACACTGATTCAACGTTGATTCAATATAAATAACACTGATTCAGCGTTGATTCAACATAAATAACACTGATTCAACGTTGATTCAACATAAATAACACTGATTCAGAGTTGATTCAACATAAATAACACTGATTCAACGTTGACTCATCATAAATAACATTGATTTAACGTTAATTCAACATAAATAACACTGATTCAACGTTGATTCATCATAAATAACACTGATTCAGCGTTGTTTCAACATAAATAATACTGATTCAACGTTGATTCAACATCCACTGATTCAACGTTGATTCAACATAAATAACACTGATTCAACGTTGATTCAACATAAATAACACTGATTCAACGTTGATTCAACATCCACTGATTCAGCGTAGACAATGTGGCTAATGGGTATAATCTCAGCACAGAGATGTGAAAAGTTAGATAGGGATATGCAGGCGATGAGTCACAATAACGTGGCTGAAGTATGTTGACCAGACCACACACTAGAAGTTGATGGGACGACGACGTTTCGGTCCGTCCTGGACCATTCTCAATCGACTTGAGAATGGTCCAGAACGGACCGAAACGTCGCCGTCCCTTCAACTTCTAGTGTGTGGTCTGGTCAACTTAGATAGGGATAGACAGAAGCGAGTAAGGTTGATGCTCTTGGGGCCCGGTCGTTTGATTAGCCAATCCGTCAAAAATCCAACCTAACCTAACCTGTCGAATCCTATGCATAGAAAAGGTAGATATATGTGAGCCGCGACTGTTCGTAGTAGGCTGCGTTTGTACCGTTAGATACAATAACGTGATATACGCGACCTATTAGTTGAGAGGACGGGTTGGTTATACAGTTGAGAGGACGGGTTGGTTATACAGTTGAAAGGACGGGTTGGTTATACAGTTGAGAGGACGGGTTGGTTATACAGTTGAGAGGACGGGTTGGTTATACTGTTGAGAGGCCGGGTTGGTTATACAGTTGAGAGGACGGGTTGGTTATACAGTTGAGAGGCCGGGTTGGTTATACAGTTGAGAGGACGGGTTGGTTATACAGTTGAGAGGACGGGTTGGTTATACAGTTGAGAGGCCGGGTTGGTTATACAGTTGAGAGGACGGGTTGGTTATACAGGCTTTCCGGGTAGGAACATGCGACAGGCAGGAATGGGGACACACAGATAGACAGAGTCAGAAACATGGGTAGACAGAGACACCGACAGGAAGACGTAGACACATGGATAACAATAGGGAGACAGGCAGAGGGAGACATAGACAGAAAGACACAGTCAGGGTGAAACATAAACAGGGAGACACAGACAAGGGGGGGAGATATAGAGAGGGAGACGTCGCGCCTACCTCGTCAATGTTAGCGGCGAGCGCTCCCGAGAGAAAGGTGGGTCCCAGGTTGATGGTGATGGAGGCAAACCATATCATGAAGGTGCCGAAGAGAACACACTGCGGCGACTCCATCAGGAGCGGCATTGTCTTCTGGTCAGAGTCCTCGGGCAGGAGCGGCGCGTCGTTCAGCACCTGTGGGAGATGACAAGCAGGTGGAGCTTCCGCGATACTGTTGCATGCAATACTCCAGGGGGAAGGAAAGGGAGGCATGGGGGATTGCAGAGGGGAGGGAGGGAGGAAGAGGCAGAAAGGGTGGTGGGGTGGTGAGAGAGTGGGTTGATGGGGAAGGGATTTTTTTTTTTACTGATTAGGTTTAGATATTTGTATTAGATTGCAATGTTAGTGATTATCCAAGCTTTGCTGTTGTGGTTGGTGGGTTTGTTGTGTTGCATGGTTGCTCTGTCTCACGGAGTCAATACTGTAGTGACACACTTGTCTTCTAAGTCCTGCTCAGAAAACTATCACTGACGAACTTACACGTTTGGGAGCCGGTCGGCCGAGCGGACAGCACGCTGGACTTGTGATCCTGTGGTTCTGGGTTCGATCCCAGGCGCCGGCGAGAAACAATGGGCAGAGTTTCTTTCACCATATGCCCCTGTTACCTAGCAGTAAAATAGGTACCTGGGTGTTAGTCAGCTGTCACGGGCTGCTTCCCGGGGGTGGAGGCCTGGTCGAGGACCGGGCCGCGGGGACACTAAAGCCCCGAAATCATCTCAAGATAACCTCAAGATAACCTCTCTGTCATCACTTATCATGATGCTTCACTTAAGGGCTGCACCAGTCGGACATCAACATAGCAGCAGTTGGCAGTCGTATTGCATCAACCACTTAAGAGACTGAATTCACTCAAAACAAAGTTCAGCTTTCTGGAGGTAGTGAGTCCACATTTGTGAAATAAGTTAAGGAAGAAGTGGTTCTAAGCACCTTTCAACTCTTTACTGCCAAGCTGCTCTGAATAAAATATGCTAATTGCTAGGTTTGTGAGGAGTAACTTAAAAATTTTAAGCCACACAGGAACACGGCTTCGGCCCAGGTCGTGACTACACTCTCAAAGACAACAGTTGACAACCCACCATGGAAGAACCACCTGCTCCTCCTAACTCTACTCACATATATGTTCACGATCAACTGAGACGGTCGAAAGCGCTACAATAATTAATTCCTATCTAATAATAACGTGGTTACTATGCACACACACACACACACACACACACACACACACACACACACACACACACACACACACACACACACACACACACACACACACACATTCATCAGTTGAGAGGCGGGACCAAAGAGCCAAAGCTCAACCCCCACAAGCACAAATATGTGAGTACACACACACACACACACACACACACACACACACACACACACACACACACACACACACACACACACACACACACACACACACACACACACACACACATACACACACACACACACACGCACACACACACGCACACACAGGTTGTTCTGGAAACTGGAACATATTGGAGGAGTGACAGGTAAGCTAGTAACATCGATGAAAATTTCCTAACTGACAGAAAAATGAGGGCCGTAATCAGAGGCAAGGTATCAGATTGGAGGAATGTCACAAGTGGAGTACCACAGGGTTCAGTTCTTGCACCAGTGATGTTTATTGTCTACATAAACGATCTACCAGTGGGTATACAGAATTATATGAACATGTTTGCTGATGATGCTAAGATAATAGGGAAGATAAGAAACCTAGATGATTGTCATGCCCTTCAAGAAGACCTGGACAAAGTAAGTATATGGAGCAACACTTGGCAAATGGAATTTAATGTGAATAAATGCCATGTTATGAAATGTGGAATTGGAGAACATAGACCCCACACAACCTATATATTATGTGAGAAATCTTTAAAGAATCCTGACAAAGAAAGATATCTTAGGGTGGTTCTAGATAGAAAACTGTCACCTGAGGACCACATTAAGAACATTGTGCGAGGAGCCTATGCTACACTTTCTAACTTCAGAATTGCTTCTAAATACATGGATGGAGAAATACTAAAGAAATTATTCACGACTATTGTTAGAGATGAGGAACTTCCTAAGGGGAATACCATGGGAAACAGAAATTAGAGACAAGACTGTGCAGGACATGATAGATTTTGTCACCCAGAAGTGCCAGGAAGCTGCAGACAGGTTTATCCCCGTCCAAAAGGAGGGAAACGAAAAACAACAGAAAAATCCATGGTTCAACCAGGAATGCAAGGTAGCGAAGCAACTGAATAAAAAAAGAGAGAGAGAGAGAGAGAGAGAGAGAGAGAGAGAGAGAGAGAGAGAGAGAGAGAGAGAGAGAGAGAGAGAGAGAGAGAGAGAGAGAGAGAGAGAGAGGAGAGAGAGAGAGAGAGAGAGAGAGAGAGAGAGAGAGAGAGAGAGAGAGAGAGAGAGAGAGAGAGAGAGAGAGAGAGAGAGAGAGAGAGAGAGAGAGAGAGAGAGAGAGAGAGAGAGAGAGAGAGAGAGAGAGAGAGAGAGAGAGAGAGAGAGAGAGAGAGAGAGAGAGAGAGAGAGAGAGAGAGAGAGAGAGAGAGAGAGAGAGAGAGAGAGAGAGAGAGAGAGAGAGAGAGAGAGAGAGAGAGAGAGAGAGAGAGAGAGAGAGAGAGAGAGAGAGAGAGAGAGAGAGAGAGAGAGAGAGAGAGAGAGAGAGAGAGAGAGAGAGAGAGAGAGAGAGAGAGAGAGAGAGAGAGAGAGAGAGAGAGAGAGAGATGATCTAGCACCTCTGTCTCCTACAGTACCTAGAGATAAAACCTTCAACCTCACACAGTATGATAACGTAAGCTTTCCCCAGCCACCCGCGTCCTGCTATTCGTGAGGACGACTTTACTGCAGCAATCTTCAACTCCTGGCCTTTCGTTTTTCTCCAACTGTCTTCTGAAAAATGACGTCCATTACTAAAGGAAGAAGAGTTGTCTTGCAAACTTTCTAGTACCTCTCTGTATCTCTCACCAGTGCAAGAGGACGTAGGTAAAGAGATCCCAGCCAGGAGGACTTCACTTAAGCGACCCTTCGCCTCGGCTATTTTAAGCGGAACATTGCAACACACAATATCACCGGCAGGAGTTCCATTCGCACCTCCTGCTTTCCTATAATAGGATGGGAAGGAATGGTTGGTTACCACTTGGGATCCCACGGCTGAACGACCCGTTAAGCTGACGGGCCGTTCTTCCAACACGCACGGAAGAATCTATGGAGAGCACGAGGAAATCTATAAAGGCGTCTTGTGCAGGTCAGTGGATCGGGGGAACCGATCCACTGACCTGATTGTCGTATACTTCCTGATTATTATTGATTTTTGTTTTAACTGATTAGTTTTTTAAACACCGTGGCTTTAACGGTTGGTAATTATATATATATATATATATATATATATATATATATATATATATATATATATATATATATATATATATATATATATATATATATATATATGTCGTACCTAGTAGCCAGAACGCACTTCTCAGCCTACTATGCAAGGCCCGATTTGCCTAATTAGCAAAGTTTTCCTGAAATAATATATTTTCTCAATTTTTTTTTCTTATGAAATGATAAAGCTACCCATTTCATTATGAATGAGGTCAATTTTTTTTTATTGGAGTTTAAATTAACGTAGATATATGACCGAACCAAACCAACCCTACCTTAGGTTAGGTTAGGTAGCCGAAAAAGTTAGGTTAGGTTAGGTTAGGTAGGTTAGGTAGTCGAAAAATAATTAATTCATGAAAACTTGGCTTATTAGGCAAATCGGGCCTTGCATAGTAGGCTGAGAAGTGCGTTCTGGCTGCTAGGTACGACATATATATATATATATATATATATATATATATATATATATATATATATATATATATATATATATATATATATATATATATATATATATATATATATATATATATATATATATTATATATATATATATATGCGAACAAGCCTGAATGGTCCCCAGGACTATATGCAACTGAAAACTCACACCCCAGAAGTGAATCGAACCCACAAAAGAGGATGGTAGCCAAAGCTATTTCCATCCCCCCGCCGGCACTCGGTTGGTAATCTTGGGCATGGTATTTTATCAAATCACCTCATTCTTTGGGGCACACGTGATTCCCCATTCTTTGTCCAGTCGTGTTGGTCGAGCGGTTAAGGGAACCTGTACGCCAGCAGGGTGCTCCTGGCAGTATGGGTTCGAGTCACTTCTGGGGGTGTGAGTTTTCAGTTGCAAATAGTCCTGGAGACCATTCAGCCTTGTTCGCATTTGTGTTCCTCACGTGTGCCCCAAAGAATGAGATGATTTGATAAAATACCATGCCCAAGTTTACCAACCGAGTGCCGGCGGGTGGATGGAAATAGCCTCGGCTACCATCCTCTTTTGTCCGGTCGTGTTGGTCGAGCAGTTAAGGAATCCTGTATGCCAGCAGAGTGCTCCTGGCAGTATGGGTTCGAGTCACTTCTGGGGTGTGAGTTTTCAGTTATATATATATATATATATATATATATATATATATATATATATATATATATATATATATATATATATATATATATATATATATATATATATATAGGTCTTATTTAAACTTTGGTACAAAAAAGGAATTACATATAGGGGTACAAAGATGATTAACATATGTTGTCGAGTTCCTCCAGCTCCTCAGATGGCGGGCAGGAACCCTGAATGCAGTGTGCATTTTCCCTCTGTATCGCCACGCTGAGGCGCTGAAAAAGGAAGCTGGCAGCTCTTGGGTCTCGTGTTGTTTCAATTAGCCTAGAACCCAGTTTCTTCATAAAACTGGTGGCACTCGTACCCCAGGCGCAGAGTGTCTCAGAGGCAATGGGGACAAAATTGTAGTGGCGATCCAGCTCTCTGTACTTCAGGGATTTGGCTGATTCCCTGTGAGTGGCAGCACCACCTGGTTGTGCAAGACTGAAGTCAATGTAGGTTTTAGGCAGTGTTGTTACGCACGTGTAGTCCCACACCAACTGCTTGCCATTCTTCCAGGGGCTCACTGTGAGCAATAAGAGCGTCAGAGTTATGGGGAGTTATGTAACGAGGCTCTCTCTCAGTGGTGAGAGAGTGTGGTGAGGCTCCTATTGATGATGTGGTTAACTTCACTGTGACTCGAGTGCCATCCACGTGTGGCTTGGCAGAGTTGGCCATGGTGGCCGTACCTGTTGGCCATCACCTCGCCGCAAAAACACCAATATTTGGTGTGGATTGGGGCAGGAAGGTGGAGGGCCACAGCAATTCCAGGGGGGCCTGTGGTGTGAGATGAATACCGGTTGCTGACATTGGAGTTTCTAATAGGAAGTCATCTACACGGGGAGCTGCTACAGCTCTAAGTCGGACAGTGTCATTTGGTCTTGTTGTAGCTGCATGGTCAACAATGGGGCAATCCCAGCTAGATTTCTCCTGAGCTTCAGAAGCTGATGGTTGGAGTGCTGGTCCTGCAAGAGAAAGACCCATTTGGTGATTCAGACCATAAAGCTGGGAACGTTTACTCCTGCCTGTTGACCTAGGCAGTCAGGATTTCTTTCACCAGGTTATCAGATGCCGCTGAAGAGGACAAGAACGCTGGTACAGCAATTTGTGTTGCTGTGCGAACGCCGAGGCCCCCGAGTCAGACAGGAAAGGAGGCCTGTTTCCAGTGTGAGTCGCTGAGAGGAAGGTTGAGGGCTTTTTCTAGTATTGATTTCAGCAAGCTGTCGTACTCTTCTAATTTATTATTATTGAACGATGGCGAACATCTAAGAAAATAGGTCAGCCTGGGAAGGGACAAGCATCTGATGATGAGGAAAAGTGCATCATAAGCATCAATGTCTTCAATCCTCTCATCCATCCTCTTCAGATCAGCAATCTCCTTACCCAAGACCTCTTCGATGGCATTCCCTCCAAGAGGAGCTCCTAGGAGAGTGCTGTCCTCATGGTTGATTATATGAATATCAGGCAAAACATACATTATTCGCTCTATTATGGGCTGGTTGGTGGAGGTTATTTCGCACTTGGAAGAGTTCAGGGTGAGGCTTAAGCTTATTCCTTGCTCCTGAATTATTCTTATGTCCTCTAGGATGAAGGCTGGGGAGCCAGCTAGAGTACCATCGTTCAAAAAACAAATGTAGATCTCTGGACAGGTAATCGGTGACTTCCTTGATGACTAGGCAGAAAAGAAAAGGAGCAAGGGGGTCACCCTGTTGGACACCTTCTTGTGATTCAACTTCATGTTCCCCGAATAGCAGAGTTATATTCTTGCTGTAGCATGAGTTTACAAGCGGGTAGAGGGAAGGAAAATAGCGATGAACCGCATTGAGTACTGCATCCCTTCCTACCAAATTGAAAGCATTTTTGTATCCAGTTTCATCAGGGCTTTTTCATCTGTAATATTTGCAATGTAGGCCCTAACTGCATGAGCCGCTGCCTCACATCCTTATATATATATATATATATATATATATATATATATATATATATATATATATATATATATATATATATATATATATATATATATATATATGACAATGTCAGACCACGGAGGAAAAATCAAACAGGAATTTCCTTAAGTACTTTCGTATATTAATACATCTTCAGAAGGATTGGTATATTATTAATATACGAAAGTACTTAAGGAAATTCCTGTTTCATTTTTCATCCATGGTCTGACATTGTCACATTTTTAATCACGTGTTTATTTTCGTGATAAACATAAATATATATATATATATATATATATATATATATATATATATATATATATATATATATATATATATAATTTTTTTCTCTGGTACTAGTGTTTCCCATAAAATATATATATATATATATATATATATATATATATATATATATATATATATATATATATATATATATATATATATATATATATATATATATATATATATATATATTGGTGTATACTGGCAGCAGGTTTTCTTTCAAACATGTTTCATTGAATATGACCGCATATTCTGTATTTATTATTTTCTGGTTTAGGGCTTCTATCCCTCTAACTATTTTCTTAGCATCAGGGCTTAATTGAAATAGGAGTTCTATTGAAATTACATCATAATTTGTCATATTAGTATAATCAATATATATATATATATATATATATATATATATATATATATATATATATATATATATATATATATATATATATATATATATATATATATATATATATATATATATATATATATATATATATATATATATATATATATATATATATATATATATATATATATATATATATATATATATATATATATATATATAATATATATATAAAAATAAAAAAATATATATAAAAATATATATATTTTATATATAGGGAAGGGAGTACCACCTCTGGCTGGAAGAAGGGGGACCCATGGCCTCGGAGGAAACCACACATAACGCACTGGAGGGAATGTAGGTCCCCTCCAATACAGTTTCTGTGTGCTTTTCTCCTACCACCCCCTTCCCTTTATATATATATATATATATATATATATATATATATATATATATATATATATATATATATATATATATATATATATAATATAATATAATATAATATAATATAATATAATATAATATATATCCGCTAGCCGCTTGGATATGTCATGGGTATGCGTCTATGTCGTGCTTTGTGAGGAAAATATACAACTGTTTCACTGATATCCTGCACAACGACTATATTGTATTTTCTTATTTTATTTTACGAAATCTTCCATTTGGAACATTTCGTCTTCCAACACTGTGAGGAAATGTTATTATTGTTCCAGCTGACATAATAAGGAAATGTAAGAGATATGAGCTTATGAGAGTTATAATTCTTCTCATGAACAATAGAAGGCAGATAGAGGATTAGAAGAGACCACCACACCTCGAGGGTGCTGTGGGCGAGAGCGGGCGTCGAGGGGCAGGCATGTGGTGGTGCTTGAGGGGTGGTGGGGGATGGGGGCGCAGGCATGGGGTTAGCGGGACGGCCGGGCGGCGGGTCGGGCGGGTGACGGACGGGCGGTTGGCGGGAAAGGGCGGGCGGCGGGCCGGGCGGGTGACGGACGGGCGGTTGGCGGGAAAGGGCGGGCGGCGGGCTTTTGGAAAGCGTCGAGGCGGGCCGCACCGGTTATCACCTCATGTGTCGTCGTTCTTGTCAGTTCAGACGGCCGGTAAACTGTCCTTTATGAGAACACCGCGTCACAAACATGTCCGGATAAACAAAGCTCCCGGTAAAGCCTTGAATTATTTCCCCTCTCTGCTCCGGCACAGCACATCTGCCACACACAGGTTTGATTGCTAGGTTTGAGTAAATAATCTCTGAGGTTTTAAGAGCACTGAGAGTGAAAGGAAGTATATAATATAATTCGGCATTAATTATTATACACACACACACACGTTGACAGGTAGAACGACAGTAAATATTAAACACCGGCGAAGCACTATATATTAAACAATTTGAAGCAATTGTTAAGAATCAGGTCACACTCTGCCATCCTTAAGACCAAGACAATATCCAGTACACACTGCCTCAGCCAATATAAGAACATAGAAGTTTGGGAACTGCAGATGGCCCATCACCACCTTTTCTATCCCTCACTATCTTTCTTGCATTTCACCATCTTCTCCACCCTTCACCACTTTCCCTTCATCACTGTAATCTTAGTGTGGATAGAGTCTTTTATTTGGCGACATTGGAAATTAGTATAATTTGTCATTTCATGCAAAGGGGGTAAGGAGGTCGATCCCAACCCATCTATGACCATCCCCGGACAAAAACCAGTCATCCTGCAAAGTTTCGTGAGGCTAACCCCAAGCGTCTGGCCCCCATTCTCGAACAAACAAACATATAGACAGATTATCTCTATAAATTATATATATATATATATATATATATATATATATATATATATATATATATATATATATATATATATATATATATATATATATATATATATATATATATATATATTTATGTATATTTTTGTTTCCCATTAGACAAGGGGAGTCCTGGGTCCCATATTAGTTATAATAATAAAAAATGGAGGATATTATTTGTCATTAGCTTTCTCTTCCTTCTTTTCACTTTAATATTTTTTGGACCAAATAATTTTAGATTAAGAGGTTAAGTGAGATTTAGTATAAGGTTTAAAAGTGACTCGGGAAATAAGTTGTGGTATAAGATTTAGGAGGTGGGACTGCCAGCCGGCCAGCCAGCCAGTGCTCACACTGTCTCCTCAACACCTACTCCTCTGCAAGCAGCGTGGCAGAGTAGCGCCTACAGCGGAAGCTATACACACAGCGAGTGTCTACAGGGGGGCATACATGACTCAAGAGACTGTTCCTTTACTTGACTTAATACCGTTGTTAACATGTTGATAGTGGACACCGTGACCAGCAAGAGGAAGGCGGTCTCCACCAGCGAGCATTTGGTCACTGGCAAGCAGCTGTAGATGGAGCGGCCCAGCGGGATGAGAATGGCTGCCCGGCCGCAGTCCACCAGAGCCTGGTGGAACAACAGCCCCTGCGACCACCTGTGGAACAGAGCGAGAGACATTAGTGGGAATCATGTACAATACATGAACACTGGTGCTCTACGAATGAAGTAATAATAATAATAGCTGGTGAGTGAATTAGTCCTTGCTTGCTGCCCTTATTGAGTAAGTCCACTATCACGACTCAGCGACACCCACATCATGGGTGTTACAGGGCGTCAGTATGATACAATGCATTTACACATCGCACCAATAAATGAGGACTATAAACCATGGAGTGAAAGGTTTAACATATTTATTACAGGGGGTTGGTATAAATATTTACACATCCCTGGAAACACAAACCGAAACTGTCTCTATTTCCCGCTTGTTACAAATTGTAATAAAGTTGTTACATCTTGACTTAACGTGTTAATGACGTATTAGAACGTTGTTACAACCTGATATATTGGTTGTTATAACTGGTTAGGAGATGTTAAAACTTGTTCGAACGTTGTACCAACGTCGTAGTTTCGGTGTGTGTTTGGTGGGATAATATTCCTTCGTGTATGTGATTGGGAGAGAGGAGCCACGTCCGCCAGCGCTGCGAGACTCTGAGTCTGTACTCTTACTGAAGGAAATATTAAAACATGATGAAACCATCTCACGATGTTATCAAAGCCTGACTGTTTACTGAGATTTAACTTTGTCAGTCACTTGCAGTGTCAAAACCGATGATATATATTTAAACAAGGATAAGAACAATCAGTTCATTTACACATCTTACAAATAAATAAGTTTTCTAAATCAACACTCGCCATTCTCGTAGTAAGAACTCCAATAGGGAAAACTGATGTTAACGTCATTAATCATATGGATGATGAATACTAGGTTCATGAACACAGAGGCGGGCAGGGCTCGCTCTGGCATCACTCGGGACCAAACAGTAACAAGATTCCTTAAGACGTAACTAGAGCAGACTAAGAAGCATGAGAGAATGAACCGTGTTATCAAGATAAGATATAAATATGCTCTTGACAGGTGAGGTAAGTAGGACAGGGGAGCCACAGAGGTCCCCATCCCCCCCAGCTGTAATATACACAGCTCTCCTCATATCAAAATGTTGACTTAATATAAGGGAAGATTTCTAGCTTGGGAGAGTTGCTTCCTCTGGCCGCCAAGATGTTCGCCAGGTCAAACGGTCACCTCTGCGGCCCCCGAAACTATAATAAAAATGGTGTTCGTAGATCAAGTCATCTTGAGGTGATTACGTCTAACAGCGTTACAGAATCATCAGCCAAACAGCCCTCCTAGAAGGGCCGCGTGAAAATAAGTTAAGTACCAATTGGAATTATAGCGAGTGTTCTGTAGAACTTGTACACTTAGACAGGACCCACAAGTTGTTTTCCAAGTGATACTGAGGGCCTCGTCAGTCTCATTCCATGGACAATTAACTTGAGGACTTGAAATATAGAATATAATGCATTCAAAGTTTTATGATATCGAAGATGTTGACACCCCAAGAAGTTGGCAAGAAGTAGGGAGCCGAGCGGACAGCACGCTGGACTTGTGATCCTGTGGTCCTGGGTTCGATCCCAGGCGCCGGCGAGAAACAATGGGCAGAGTTTCTTTCACCCTATGCCCCTGTTACCTAGCAGTAAAATAGGTACCTGGGTGTTAGTCAGCTGTCACGGGCTGCTTCCTGGGGGTGGAGGCCTGGTCGAGGACCGGGCCGCGGGGACACTAAAAAGCCCCGAAATCATCTCAAGATAACCTCAAGATAACCCCTCCAGGTAGACCTGGAATGGCCTCGCGCCTCATCACAAACAAGACATTACCACCTATCCAACCCTAATTGGTGGTGCCATTAAAGGTGTAACCAACAGACCCCTTTCCCGAGCACCCCGTCAGCTGTTATAGGCACCGGAGCAACAAAGCCTTCCGTTAGCTAATAAGGCAATAGAGATGTAAGCCAACGGGGGGTAATAGAGAGAGAGCTGTGAGCCATGATCGAGATCTAAAACGTTATTGGCGTCGTCCGGACGGTGTTGCGGCCGGCATAAGAGACCAGCAGACCAGAGACCAATATCACCAATTCGAAGTTATGGATATTGCCTTCGTGTGTGTGTGGGGGGGGGGGGTCAGTCACCAGGTGGGGGAGAGGGGGGGGAGTCAGTCACCAGGTGGGGGAGAGGGGGGGTCAGTCACCAGGTGGGGGAGAGGGGGTGGTCAGTCACCAGGTGGGGGAGAGGGGGGTGGTCAGTCACCAGGTGGGGGAGAGGGGGGTCGAGTCAGTCACCAGGTGGGGGAGAGGGGGTCGAGTCAGTCACCAGGTGGGGGAGAGGGGTGGTCAGTCACCAGGTGGGGGAGAGGGGGTGGTCAGTCACCAGGTGTGGGAGAGTAGGGGGGGTCAGTCACCAGGTGTGGGAGAGGAGGGGGGGTCAGTCACCAGGTGTGGGAGAAGGGGGGAGGGGTCAGTCACCAGGTGGGGGGGAGGGGGGGGGGGTCAGTCACCAGGTGGGGGAGAGGGGGTGGTCAGTCACCAGGTGGGGGAGAGGGGGGGGTGGTCAGTCACCAGGTGGGGGAGAGGGGGGGTCAGTCACCAGGTGGGGGAGAGGGGGGGGGGTCAGTCACCAGGTGGGGGAGACGGGGGGGTCAGTCAGTCACCAGGTGGGGGAGAGGGGGGGTCGAGTCAGTCACCAGGTGGGGGAGAGGGGTGGTCAGGTCAGTCACCAGGTGGGGGAGAGGGGGGTCGAGTCAGTCACCAGGTGGGGGAGAGGGGGGTCGAGTCAGTCACCAGGTGGGGGAGAGGGGGGTCGATTCAGTCACCAGGTGGGGGAGAGGGGGTGGTCAGTCACCAGGTGGGGGAGAGGGGGGTCAGTCACCAGGTGGGGGAGAGGGGGTGGTCAGTCACCAGGTGGGGGAGAGGGGGTGGTCAGTCACCAGGTGGGGGAGAGGGAGGGTTTGAGGAGTGGAGGCCCAGTGATATATACACGCTCCACACTCACAGGAGAGGGAGTTATCTCTCGCTGTCACAACAACTTCACTTCCAGCAGCGCCATAGGACTGTTGCAAGGATCCATCAGTGTAAACAATCTAGGAAAGGGAGCGCTCTCTGACCAGAGCATCAATTTGGCTTAAGGCATTGTACCTGTCCGTTAGTGGAATAGTTGTTTAGGAGTGCCACTCACACGGGCGCTCTTCTTGGACAGTTGGAGGCTTGCGGTCTTGTCCCTCCACGGTGAAACTCAGCTGTGAGTTCCAGCGCTACAGGATTAACACCATATTTAAAAACATAATTTGCTCAAGAAATTATAAGCCCGACAACTTCAGAGATTACATGAAGATTTTAAACAAGCACGCACACACGCAGTCACGCACACGCATACCGACACACACACAGGGCATGGAGGAACTTCCGTAATAACAGAACACCAGAAAGTAGAGAGAGATACCAGAGAACCAGGAACGAGTATGTCAGTGTGAGAAGAGCAGCTGAGAAAAGGTATGAAAATGATATAGCTAATAAAGCCAAGACCGAACCCAAGCTACTACACAGTCACATCAGGAGGAAGACAACAGTGAAGGAACAGGTGATGAAACTTAGGGTGGGCGAGGACAGGGACACAGAGAATGACAAAGAGGTGTGTGAAGAACTCAACAAAAGGTTCCAGGAGGTCTTTACAATAGAACAGGGAGATGTCGCGGCGCTAGAAGAGGTGGCAGCAAACCAGGTGACCTTGGATAGGTTCGAAATTACAAGAGATGAGGTCAAGAAGCACCTATTGGAGCTGGATATGAGAAAAGCTGTTGGGCCGGATGGAATCTCGCCATGGGTATTGAAAGAGTGTGCAGGAGCACTTTGCCTACCACTCTCCATAGTGTATAGTAGGTCACTGGAAACGGGGGACCTACCAGAAATATGGAAGACTGCTAATGTAGTACCAATATACAAAAAGGGTGACAGACAAGAGGCACTGAACTACAGGCCAATGTCCTTAACTTGTATATCATGCAAGGTGATGGAGAAGATTGTGAGAAAAAACCTAGTAACACATCTGGAGAGAAGAGACTTCGTGACAACCCATCAACATGGGTTGAGGAAGGGTAAATCTTGCCTTACAGGATTGATAGAATTCTACGATCAGGTGACAAAGATTAAACAAGAAAGAGAAGGGTGGGCGGACTGCATTTTTTTGGACTGTCGGAAAGCCTTTGACACAGTACCCCATAAAAGGTTGATGCATAAGCTAGAGAAACAGGCAGGAGTAACTGGTAGGGCGCTCCAGTGGATAAGGGAGTACCTAAACAATAGGAAGCAGAGAGTTACAGTGAGGGGTGAGACCTCAGACTGGCGTGAAGTCACCAGTGGAGTCCCACAGGGCTCTGTACTTGGACCTATCCTGTTTCTGATATACGTAAATGATCTGCCAGAGGGTATAGACTCATTCCTCTCAATGTTTGCTGACGACGCCAAAATTATGAGAAGGATTAAGACAGAGGAGGACAGCTTGAGGCTTCAAGAAGACCTGGACAAGCTGCAGGAATGCTCGAACAAATGGCTGTTAGAGTTTAATCCAAGCAAATGTAATGTAATGAAGATAGGGGTAGGAAGCAGGAGACCAGATACAAGGTATCACTTGGGAGATGAAATACTTCAAGAGTCCGAGAGAGAGAAAGACCTGGGGGTTGATATCACTCCAGACCTGTCCCCTGATGCTCACATCAAGAGGATAACAGCAGCAGCATATGCCAGGTTGGCTAACATAAGAACGGCCTTTAGAAACTTGTGTAAGGAATCTTTCAGAACATTATATACCACATATGTCAGACCAATCCTGGAGTATGGGGCACCAGCATGGAGTCCATATCTAGTCAAGCATAAGACTAAAATGGAAAAGGTTCAAAGGTTTGCCACCAGACTAGTACCCGAGCTGAGAGGTATGAGCTACGAGGAGAGACTACGGGAATTAAACCTCACTTCGTTGGAAGACAGAAGAGTTAGGGGGGACATGATCACCACATTCAAGATCCTCAAGGGAATTGACAGGGTTGATAAA